AAAAGACAGTTTACTTCTACCAAACCAATACTTGTATTTATAAAAAAAAGTAGGTAGGTATACTTGTTTGTTATTGTCCTGCCAAACGAGCTGAATACAATTTATCACCGCACCACCTGACCTTACTTTAGCAGTCTTTGCTTAATTTAAAAGCTAAAATTTCGATTTTCATGAATCATTATTGATATTGGTATCCCGCATTTCTATGATATCTTAAGTTTAGGTTAGTCTATAGTATGTGATATATTTATGGAAAAAACATAAATAGGGCAAAATAGATACTACTTATAATATTTTTAAATTATACTTAATTATATTTTAATCATGCTATAGTGGAACAGTATGTTGTGACTTTTCGCTGTATTGTAGGTATGTATAATTTAAATTGGGTGCCTATCTTACAAATTGTTTATAGAACCTACATTTGTATCATGAACCATTTAAAAACTTTAATATAAATCAAGATTACGAGTATTACGAACGATAACGAACGGCAACAGATAATTCAAATAAATCATCTGATGACACTATTCGCAGTGCAGACCAAATTATCGAAGGACAACGACAATGCCATACAGTTTACTTGACTGATACCATAAACGTTTGTAACATAATATTATATACATATAGCCATATTGAATTTAAACAAAAATAAAAGTTATAAAGCAATTCCTTGCACTGGTGAGTTGGTGACCCAATTAATTCATTTTGTAGATGCGTAGGTAAAAATAACACGGTCCATTTATTAAAGGGGATTTCTATACAGAAATACTAAAAAAAAGGTAATATATGCTCAAAATAACAAAATATGCAGTCTTATTGGAAAATCGCCGAAATATAACTCCCAGGTTTATGCCCAAAATATTATGTTTCTTGGTTTCCTATACCTAATTTAGAGACTTTGCAATCGACTTCAGTTGAAAAAATGTTGGCTATGGTGGTTAAATTACTTAAATATATTATTTATTTTAAAATAATAATATAAACATTAAAATATTAAAAATAACAATAAACTCTGAAATACGTAGCCGCGAAATTAAATATTTTTGAAATTTATATAAATTACGATATAGGTCATGGTCTGACATAGGCTTATGTAAAAATGTATTATAGTTGGCTTCTTTAAAATGGAATATTATATTATTATAATATATTATAATATAAGAAAACTATCTTTAGTTATTATGTATGATGGTATTAAATATTTTCTAGAAACTATAGATTTACGTCCCAATCCACAATTATTACAAACTTTCCAAAACTGTGGAGGCACAAGAATAACTACCCGATATATTGATATGACTCACAAGTACAACATAAGTATCACAATTATTGTAAATATTGTAATTATATAATGACTTGTTTCCGATTAGAAACATATTATATTAATGATTTACAGATCTATTAGAATAATATTAGGTAAAAAAACAAATATTTGTTTAAACACCATAAAACAAAACGATCGTATAACCTACTATTATTGACATTCGCCAATATATAACACCATAAGTTCTACACATTACACATACACGACATGTCGATAGTGGCGACATGACATACCTAGAGGTATCCCGGGTCTTCACAAATGTACTATGAACGGAATTTAATTTATAATATTATTTACCTACTGTCAGTCGGCGTTTAAACACACAATACAGACAACAGACAGAGTCAATTGATATTTGATAGAGATGA